TCGGAAGCCACTGGGCCTGAGCTGTTGACATTCCTCGGTCCTTGAGAGCCGGCATGACCCCAGGCCGGTGCACGTGGAAACTGCTGGCGAAGAGTGACCAGGGGCTCCCAGGTAGCCAACTCCCGTGGAGTGTGAGACCACTGTATGAGACCTTGCTCCATGGGATGATCTCCGGAAGACCAGCGACGTTGTAGAATACGCAGTGGCACCTGGAAGGTCTGCAAGTCAGAAGGTAAGGCCGACGATACCTGTTGAGCTCCAGGCGACAGCTTCAGCTGGGACACATGAAACACCGGGTGTATCGAGGAAGAAGGTGGTAACTCCAATTTGTAGGCAACTGGTCCGATCTTCTCGATAATGTTGAAAGGCCCAAAGAAACGAAATGACAGTTTATGATTTGATCGGCGCAACAGAGAAGAATGAACATATGGCTGGAGCTTCAAGAACACTTTGTCACCGCTTGAGAACACCCGCTCTGAACGACCCTTGTCAGCTTGACGCGTCATGCGTTCCTGAGCGCGCAACAAGTGCTGCTGGACAAGCTCCTGCATATGCCTGCGACCAGCCAGCCAAGATGCCAAATCTGGAACCGGAGGAACCGAGTCCACATCTAGACCCATGTGTCGTGGAGGAAAGCCATACAGGACCTCGAAGGGTGACTTGCCCAATGCTGAATGGAATGATGTATTATACCAGTACTCCGCAAGGGACAGCCAACGATGCCATTGGGAAGGGCAGGAATGAGCAAAACAGCGGAGGAAAGTTTCGAGGCATTGATTTACTTGTTCGGTTTGGCCGTCCGTCTGTGGGTGGTACGAGGAGCTGAGGCGGAGAGAAGTACCAGCTGCCTTGAACAGAGCCTGCCAAAACTGACTGGTGAAGATCTTGTCACGATCTGAAATGATAGAAGTTGGCAGACCATGCAGACGGTAGATATGATCTAGGAACAGCTGAGCCACTGTCTTGGCCATGAAGGGGTGCTTTAATGCGATAAAATGAGCAAACTTGGAAAACTTATCGACAACAACTAAGATGGCATTGGCAGCTCCTGATGGTGGAAGGCCCTCAACAAAATCCATTGAAATGATCTCCCAGGAGGATTGAGGTACTGGCAGAGGCTGCAGCAGTCCTGGGTATCGGGCTCTGTCGGGTTTAGCCTGCAAGCAAATGGGACACGACTGCACCATGTTCCAGACATCAGCTTTCATGCCATGCCAGAAGAAAAGACGCTTCAGTCGGGAGTAAGTAGCTGGTGCACCGGAATGGCCCCCCATCGGGCTAGCATGAAAGGCTGTCAAGACTTGCTGTTGAAGAAGTTTACTGGATCCCAGCCAAATACGCCCCTTGTAGCGAATCACGCCTTGAACCAGAGAGTAGGAAGGCACAGAGTCCGGGTTGAGAGCCAATTGAGACAACAGCTTGTTAGCCTCCAAATCCTCTTGATAGCTGAGCACCACTGCCTCTAATCACTGATGTGTAATAGAAGATATCGCCATAAGTTGGTCGGGATGGCAACGCCGAGACAAGGCATCAGCAGCTCCATTCTCAGTGCCTTTCTTGTAGAGGATCTTGTACCGGAGACCCATGAGACGAGCAAACACTTTTTGCTGCCATGCAGTATGAAGGCGTTGGTCATTGAGGTGTATTAGACTTTGATGATCGGTGTGAATATAAAACTCGGCCTGGAGCAGGTAATGGCGCCAATGATCCACTGCCAACAAGATTGCCAAATATTCCTTCTCGTAGACAGTGAGGCATTGATTCCTCTTGCTAAGTGGTTTGCTAATAAAGGCGAGTGGATGACTGTCCTGCTGAAGCACAGCCCCAATTCCTGAACCCGAAGCATCAGTCTCGATGTGGAAAGGCTTAGTAAAATCGGGAAGAGCCAAGACCGGTGCTAAACATAGAGCCGCTTTGAGCAGTTCAAAACTGCTCGCGCGCGCTGTACCCGCAACGACGACAACGATGTGTCCATCCAGAAGCTTACGCACTCTAGCGTGACGTCATGCCTGCGCCATAGGCTGATGCGCTTCAGCTGCCCGGCCAGACATGAATAGTTAGCTTAGGCTTAGCTGCTTGATGCGTATGCGTCGATCGGTTTATTGGAATCGGCCGGCCACGAGACGTACGTGGTCGTGAACAAGGCAGGGTACACGATGCATGCATCCGGTCCCGGAATCCGGATCCCGCAGAATTATTGACTGCATCGATTTCTGGTAGTATATTCGTATGCATGATGATGATTAACTAATAATTACTTAGCTACCGGAATGCAAGCAAGCATGCCCAAAGCAAACTTTGGCATAAGCAAGAGAGTCGAGAGATATCATAATCCGTATGCTTTTGTGGGGCGATGCGCCGATGCCTCGCTAGCTTTCCGGTCAAAGGCAGATCGAGCAGCGATACTAGTAGTAGATGCTGGCAGCGCTGAGATCGATCGACTCTGCTGTTCGGCTGATCCAGTGCGCAGTGGATTTCGGCTAATTCAACAGTGTTCTGAGCTGAGAGTTGATCAGCCGAACACGCTAATGTGCCGTCGTCGAGCCTAGCTACACGAATTGTAGCGGGAGAGAGAACATTGCACGCGAGACGTCGCATTCATTCTCTGAATTAGGCACGCCGCCGCCGTGGCGCCTGCCGGGCACGAAAGCATTCAAGCAAGCAACTGGACGCTAGCTATAGGTAGCGGCTGACGGTGCCAACCAACCGAGCTTCGTTTTCCTGCCTCTGCACTCTGGAGTGTCTGGTCTGATGCCCCTGCCATGCATGACACGCTCCATGGCGCTGGACCGCTCCTTTCCGCGCGCGGCAGCAGGCATCGGCGCCGGTCGACGATGGCGACGCCGCATGGGCTCCGCGTCCGCCGCAACGTGCCGTATTCATTGTTCATCCATCGGCTCGCCTGCTAATGGAATGGAAGCCTCCTCCTCTTCCAAGAGTTAGCAGCAGTACCAGTACGATGGCGACGGTGGCATGGCCTGTCCTGTTGGAATTCGTCTCCGATGATGCTTGCCAGACACCGAGACACCGACGCCGGCGGGGTGCCGGACGGACGGGGAGTGGCTACTTACGCAACGCGGGGATCATGTGGACTGTCTCAGCAACCGGACCTTCAACAACGCAACGCCATTATGCTCCTTGGTTTTGGTCAAGCCGCATGCTGCGCAAATTAAAGGTGAGGCGCTCAGGCCTCCTACGTGTTAGTGTTACTCTCCAAAAGGAAAAGGAAAAGAAAAAGGCACAGTCGCGCTCGCTCGCGTGTCATTTCGATCAGTTGCGATCATCACTAGCTCCATCTTCCTTCTCACTGAGAAGTGAGAACACGGAAAAGAACTTGATTTGCTACTGATTTGCCACCTGTGAATGCGAAACGGAAAGCACTCCGAGGAAGACCTGAAACTGAAACTCAGAGAAGCTTCTTCTTCTCCTCTTCCGCATTGATGCTCCAAACTGACCACTTTATATGCTGGTCCACCGATGGAAGGCGAGCTGCAATTACTATTCCGCTGACCACTTCGGCCCTATTCGCTTCGCTGAAAAAAGCTAAAATATCGTTCCGGCTGATTTGTTGTGAGAGAAAAATACTGTTCCGGTTGAAAAAACAAGCTGAAAAATACAGATTATAAAAGAAGCGAACAGGGAAAAAAACACTGTTCGTTGCTGCATTTATGGAAAAATGTGACAAGTGTATGTTCCGTTCATGGCGTACTGTCACCACAGCGACAAGCCAAAGAACCCATCGTAAAAAGGACAGAACCCGAAAGGCGAATTACTGTTCCTAATCAACGAAAACCAAAATCGCGCACGTTGTTGTTCTATGTTCCGTGAATGAATGAATGAATGAGGAGGAGAATGCGTACCTACGAGATAGTGCCGGTTTTTCTCCCGTCCTTTTCAAAAAAAAAAGAGAAAAAAAGGCTGAAGCGGTTTTCGCCGCAAAATTTTCATTATTACATTAATTACAGCTGGTTTACAATTGGCAGAGGCCGGAGCAGGTGTTTCCAGTTACACTTACACACGAGTTAAAAAAAAAGTTACACTAACACACACACGGAAACGCACTCGTTAGAACGGAAGTACTTTGTCAGGAACAGCAGCAAGCAAGCAACCACTCCGAGAATTTCAGTAGTATGTGCAGTGCAGTTTCTCTTTGCATTTCAGGGAGTGTGATGACGACAGGCGACTGAAGTTTCTTCCGGCGAATTTCACCACCATTTCTGAAATGGTGTGGAGATTGGTTCCTCCGTGCTGAGATCTGTCAGAAAGCTACGGGTCCCTGTGGGCAGCAGCAGCAGCATATGTTTGCTTGCTTCTTCTTTCTTTCTTTTTTTTTGATAAATGGCAAATTTATTAATCAGCAGCATGATGTTTGCTTGCTTGGGACCTGCTGTTCTCAAAGCCTTTGACAAACGCACGTTGCATTTATAAGCAGCACCGTGCTGTGCCCGTGGTCATGGCCTCTTCCTTGTGTTTCGGTTTCTTGCCGCTGTGACAAATCCGGCAGCCATAATGAACGTTTTGTTGGAAAATTATATAAAGATTAAAGATCTGATGGACGAGGACCACGGAATCATCATCGTCTCTGAATCGAACCTCTCAAGAATCAACATGAGCAGGGGAGGAGCTGGTTGATCGAATTCTGAAAATGGATTCCATTGAGTGACAAGTACAGACAAAGCAACTAGTTACAGTGCCTCGCGAGAAGGGCGCGAAAATACAAGCCTTTTCAGCCGAGGCTTAGGGACTCATGCAAATGGTAAACAGCAGGCAGGATGATCAAAAAAAAAATGAAGATACATAAGGGCTGGGCTGGGCTGGGAATGAAAAATGCTACCACTAGCTAGGTCCCTTCTTGTCCCAAAACAAGCTGATGGAGATGCAGTTGCAACAAGAAGTCCTCTGCCGGTGCAGGCGTAGCTAGCCGAGTTGAGTTAGCTTGATACAGATCGATCGAGTTGGTCATGGTGGGAAAGGAATCAAATCACACACAGAAGACAGAATCAGCTGGTGCTGGCGTTGACGACGACGAGCTTGCGCAGGAACTCCTTGACCTCGGCGGGGTCCCGGAGCGTGAAGGACGCGCTGGTCTCCTTGGGGAACCTGGACACGAGGATCCCGGCGCCCTGCCCGCGCGCGCGCAGCACCCGGAACGCGTCCTCGTCGGTGCGGTCGTCGCCGACGTAGATGGGGAAGACGTCGTCTTTGGCGGCGTCGGCGAAGCCGAGGGCGCAGAGCAGGAACTCGAGCGCCTTGCCCTTGTCCCAGCGGATCATGGGGCGGACCTCCAGAACCTTGCGGCCCTGCGTGAGGCGCAGGCCCGGGTAGTCCTTGAGCACGGCGCGGACCTGCTCGAAGAGAGCTTCCCAGGCGTGCTCCTCCACGCACCGGAAGTGCACCGACAGGCAGAACTTGTTGTTCTCCACCTTGGCGCCCGGGATGGACGGCTCCACCTGCGACACCAGCGCCGCGTACACCTCCTCCATCACCGGCAGGAACTTGCTCGCCGGCTGGCACAGCACCGATGACTCCGACTCCGCCTGATGATGCAGCAGGGACAGTCAGTCAGTTGGAAGGCACGGGAAGGAAAGAAAACCTCCTCGTTGCTTGCGAGAATGAAAAAGAAGAAGAAGATGATGACATGGACACGTGGTGGTGTAAATTCGGAAAGGTCGTCGTACCTTGCCGTGGTGGTTGGGGTCGGCGGTGGGCCCTCGGATGTCCATCCCGTGGCTCCCGGCGTAGTAGAGTTCCGCCAGCCGCACGAAGCTGAACACCTGCACGAGCGCGAGAGAGCACGTCAGCGTCGCCGTCACTTTCACACCACCGAGTAGTAGGAGAGTACCAAAAGAGAGAGAGAAGGGAGGGGAGAAAAGGAGGGGCCGGGCCCAGAGCTCTCGCCACGCCAAGTGGAGGGGGAGCTTCTAGCTGGGTCGCCGGGATCCAGAGCGAGCTACCGGTGGGCGGTGGCCGCTGGATTTTACTAGGCCTCTTGTGTGGCGCTGAGAGGGCGAGGGGGAGGAGGGAGAGAGGTTCTGGAAGGTGAGCGAGTGCATGTATGCATGTACCTTGTCCCGGCACCGCCCGCTGACGATCGCTGTCGGGAAGCGCGCCGCCACGCAGCGCACCGCGTCCCTCATCTGCGTGTTCACAAACATCGTCGGCGTCAGAGCCAGAGGGATCCTCATCTCTTTGTTTTGTTTGTTTCTTTTCTTGTTGTTGGAACTCGGAAGCAGAGCATGCTCTGCTTTCTTGTCCATCTTAGTAGATTAGAGGTGGAAGAAACAGAGAGAACAAGAGCACGCACCTCGTCCGTCATGACGGCGCGGTCGGGGTCCTCCACGATCGGGGATAGCGTGCCGTCGTAGTCCAGGAACACCGCCACCTGCTTCCCCTGGGCCGCCGCCGCCAGCGCGTCGAACCGGTCCAATGCCGACGGGTGTCGCTCCTGCATCATCAAAACGGGATCAATTTCTTAGCTTTGTTCCGCGTGCGTTTATTTCGCCGCCCAGCGGCCGGCGGTGTGCGTACATACCATCCAGTCGTCGTGCTCCGCGTCGGCGGCGCCAGGCACGGGCGCCATGAGCCTGTGCCTGGGCGACGAGGCCTTCATGGAGTCGAGCCAGGATCCCATGACGGCGGCGCCGAGGTCCACCTGCGCGGCCAGCTTCCTGCACGAGTCGCCGCCGCCCACCGCCGCCGTCGTCCTCGGCGGCGGGAACGAGAAATACCGCGCCGCCGCGACGTCCTCCGGGCCGATCACCACGCCGTGCTTCGTCATGCTCGCTAGTCACTAGTGGCCGCGACCGGCAACCGACAATCCGTGTGAAGAACTGAACGGTGGTGGTCGCCGCTGGCTGGACAGACGGATGTGAAGAAGATGCAGAGAGGGAGAGATGGGTGCTGAATGGGTCGAGCTGTTGTTCGGAGCTTTGGCTGTGTGGGGAGTCTGGGTGGCTGGTTGAGGGTATTTATAGGTAGGGGAAGACCGGAAGAGGGTTTAGAGTACGAGGAAATTCTCTAAATATTATGTTTTTCTATAAAATTAATCTGATTCATACAATTTTCTACACGATTTTTTTTTACTTTTTTTTTTAAAAAAATCCTAATATTCAAGAGAAGCCTTGAAATCAATTTGGAATATACTTCATGGCATATTTATTTAATGTTTAGATATTTAATATTGTAGATGTACATATATCGCTTTCTTATAAACTTAATCAAAAGTAGTTAACTTTATAAAATTTGATACATTTGATTTCTAACAAAATCTTGTTTCTTCGACTCATCAGCAATGTCGCTGAAACTATATAATAATGTAAATGCAGTGTGCGGAAACGCAGAAGTGAGAAATCTCTTCCATTTTTTTTTAAAAAAAGGCAAAACTAAAATAATTTGTAATATGAAACCGGAAGGGTATTGATTAGGATCATCCATGCCTTTTGGTTTTTGATGCACTTAATTAACTTTATGACGAAGCAGCTTCCTCAAGAGAAAAACACGAATGGTCAACGTTTGCAACTGAGGTAGGCTGGCAGACTGGCGATGGATCCAAAGTCTAGGCAGCTATACTAAACTAATACAAAAACCTCGCGTTAACCAACGCAACAACCGCTTTAACTAACGGCGACATGGCAATTTCTCGCGAGACCAAACAGGAGGGAAGAAGGGATGCGCACCCATGCGCCACGCAGGGGCCCCGCGGCCTTGGACGGTCCACGTCGGATCTGGTCACCGTTGCGCTGTCGCCCTCCACGCGTCCACGCCGCGGCGCCAGCTCGGACGCGCCGCCCCGGGCCCAGCGCGCAGGCTTGTTGTGTCCACGTGTTGCTCCGAGAGCTAGCTAGTGGGGTGGCGGGACTGGGGGGCCACAACATCCGCATGCGCCGAGCAATTGCGCGCTTGTTGCTGTCTGTCGTCTCCTTCCGGACTCAGCTCAGCTCCTGTCGCTGTCGTCCTAAATTTTAGTCGTCGCGTCTAAACACCCTTAACTTTGAAGTATTCTCTTTCCGTGACTCATCTCCACGCTCAAATGTTTAATTCACGCGAGGAATACGAGTTTTGTAATAACGATGATTTAACAGAAAAGAAGCTGCAACTTGGGTTCACTGTCAGTGCAATTTAATTCTTTGGATTCTTCGCAAGCATGCGATCCATGTACCCAAGTAAAAAACACGGCGGTGGTTTGGAAATGCACACTGTGCTACTATTTATTTCTTGATTACTCCCTTCATTACAAACTTTATTTAAGATGGTTTGGTTTTCTAGATACACATGTTTTGTTATAGATGCACTTACGTTATTTCTAGATATATAGTAACAATGCATCTAGAAAAAAAAAATTATATAGGAGTAATTTGAAATGGAAGTAGTAGTAATAACAAGTAAAAGAGAACACATGATTATTTCATACAAAAATGTATTTCCATTATGATTACTCGTAGTCCGTGACTTTAAGAAATACATGTAGGTGAGCATCAGCCACTATTGCGTTTTGAAAAAGAAATACTAGCAGCTATCATTAATATTTTCACTCTCTACTTTCTTTCAAAGGCAATTGTTATATCATATTTGTTTATTAGGGGTATAGATGGTCATTCACTCATTTTTCCCCCTTCAGAATACTACTTCTTTTGTCAGACCAGTAGTGTGCCGTGGACGAAGATTGAATGACCGAGAAAGTATTTCTTAGTTAATCAGATACGTGGTCCGCAATTGAAATACAAGAAAACATAATAATATCTGGAAATATATCTTCCAAAACAAACATTTCTTAGAGATGCTAGATTTTCTCGAGAGACGGCTAAACCATATAAAATAAAGTCTATGTAGCTAAGGGCCACGTCCCTCCACAAGAAATTGAATATTAGAGCCAGATCTTCTAACAATCTCGCTCCGAAAATAGGTCTACCTTTAGAGGCAGGTCCTTTTTTAGGACTGTCCTAAAAGCCTTCATTTTCAGAGGATGTTTTTAAAATTTAGAAAATCAATTTATAGAAGCAGACCACATAATGCAAATGCCTATGAAAATTGATTTTCAGAGGCAATCGACTTAGGTGGTCCCCTTTGAAAATTATCTCTAAGGGCGGGAGAGCTAACATCCATTTGAGTAGACACGGTTGACCCACATACATCTATAAATGGTTTTGATCTGTCTCTAAAAACAAATCCATAGTAGTGTATCAAGTTCCAAATATTTACCATTTAAAATATCAACACGATTAGATCTTGATTAGTATCTTTTACTTTACCGTGATATTTTCAAATAAAGATGATCAGATATATGTGAACGCACGCTCATCCCCTACGAATGCATGCAAACATAATTTATATTCGTAAGCATCTTATCTTGATGACATATTTAACAAGTTTAAGGACCCTATATGATTTTATTAACGGTGCATGAACTCGGATGACAAGTTTAACATCTGCTCAAGATTTTTACTCGAGTGGTTTCGTATATTGTTGATTACTTACAAGAATCCTAAAATGATGAATGATTTAAATTGGAAGGAGTACGTGTATATGACATACAGGTTTAGGAGTCCATGTAGCATCTTATCCATTTTAGAATGGCAAAAGTAGTGTTATAAGGCAGGAATTTGGTGCCCACGCTCTCTTCTGTCATGTTTTTTTGGAAGAAGCTTGGCACTTTTGGCTTGATAATAACTTCTGAATAAATTTGTACTTTATGCGCAAAAAGCGACTTAGTTTTTCTTGTTTCCCAAGACATGAGGTATTCCAATGCACTATTTTGAGAGGAAGCCGTGAGTTAATTGGATTCCACGGAATCATATATAGAGAGGCTTGAATCCTAAAGACAGCCGTACCCTACCTAACGCCCATTGGAATACCCTTGTGCATCTGTGGGCTGTTTCACCTTTCGATCGTGGACATGACCACTCCAAATGAAAAGTTCCTTATTGTAACATTGCTTCTAGAACTGGAGTTTCATTACTTTATGTCCTGAGAAAAATTATGAGATGCTAATTTAATTAAGGTTAGTGATTTACAAAATGTCCTCTAATTAATTAAAAAAACAGAAATTAAAGCACATTCTAGTCTCCCCACCATCCACGAATGAATGAGTATAGCTCTTTGGAATACTTAGACGACCAAACTCCACTATATATATATGCATGGTAACAAGCATGCATGCATCAATCCTAGTTCTCAAATATTGCTATAAAAGAAGACCGATTAATTAACATTGCCATAAGTCTTCTCATCATAGTCTAGCTGGTTTCATGAATTGTCCGATGTAATGAAAACCACAACTCTCTCTCCACACAAAATGGTGGCATGCATGGCATTTCTTCATTCTCCACGGTAAAACGCCTGGTGGTGTGTGCGTGCCCTGAGCCCTGACGTCATGGTAGCTCCTAGCAGGCAGCGTTACCTTGGTCCATAAGAAGGTGGGGATCTGTTTCGATTGCTCGCTTGCTTGTGGAGCGAGGGAATCGAAGATATCCATACCAATTCCGGAGTCTCCAACCCTGTAAACTTCACACGGCCACGTAGAAGTTTCAGAGGCATCACGTAGGGAGGAGTACGCATCTAGGAGGCTGCTGCTCGATCCGGGGGCCGGGGCCGCAGGTGCATGCAATATTCAGGCCTTGTTTAGATCCCATTAAAATTCCAAGTTTTTTCATTCTCTTTCCATCACATTAATTTTTGGACACATACATGGAGCATTAAATGTAGGTAAAAAAAATAATTAATTGTACAGTTTAGTTATAAATCACGAGACGAATCTTTTGAGCCTAGTTAGTCCATGATCGGACAAAGTTTGTCAAATACAAACGAAACGTGCTACAGTGTCCGGATTGCAAAAATTTGCAATTTAAACAAAGCCTCAAATGCACACCCCTTGGAATAATTAATTAATGCGCCGGGGCTGGGCCGTCAAAGTCACAGTTTCTAGTAGCCTGTTCACTACCCCCAGATCAGCATCATACATACAGTAATGTAGTACTAGTAGTAGCACCTTGATGCACGCTAACTAGTTCTTTTTGGTTAGTTTTATTTTATTTTATGCACGCATAATTGTACGCATGCATACAAGTCCGGTGTGTGCCTCAGCTTTAGACCTGTGCTGTGCCGCCAACTATTCTCAATTGCATGCATGTGACGCTACTGTGCTGATTCTTTCCACTGTAGGATGCTAGCATATTTTTTCGTTTTTTTTTTGTTCTTTTGTTTTTGCTCTGCGACTTTGGGAGAAGGAAGAAGTCCAAGTCTCCTGTCTACCTGACTTTGACTCTTGGACAGAAAGGTTGCCGCTGCTGCATCTGCAGGCATGACTGACCGACTCAATGCTTCCGCGCCTGGTGGACAGCCGTCGAAGCTGCCTCGCACCTTCCTGCTGCGTCCGCTGACCGCTGTCACTTAGAAATTTCACAGGACTAATTTTACTTTAAAAAGAGGCAAAGACTTTTTTTTAAAAAAAAACTGGAACAAAAAATCTTGCATTCTAAAGAGATCTAAACGTGTTACTGTACTACCTTTTTCGCTCCAAAATTTCAGGGCTCCTTTGGTTCAAAGGAATTTCACAGGAGAAATGTAGGATTGTGATTTCCATAGCAATGGTAACTGTAGCAGCCTTTGGTTTACATGATTGAGCTGCAGGAATTTTGGAGGAAAGAATCCTCTGCCACCGGTTTCATAGGTGAAACATAGGAAAACAAACATCTACTTGGAGCTCTTTTTTTTCATAGGATCGAGGCAAGTCAGAAGTAAAGACATGATTGCTCAGAGAAGAATGGCTGGAGTAACTAATAC